GACATGATTTGTCCTTCGTCCTATTTAGAAATATGTGTTTGGGAAGTTTTACTTCACCCACCTTATAGTCCAGATCTTGCCACGTCATACTGCTATTTAGTTTGAATGATACAGAACGCTCTCTTTGGGATATCCATAATTGGTATGATTCGTCCTTGACCTCTTGTTCTCTTGGTGCGGTATCCATATATAGACTTGAAAGGGGTCATAGCAAATTTAGATTTGAATTTTACGTTTGGTTCTCTGGGGACATTAGATAGGGGATCGTTTTTAGTATATCACGAAAGTTCAAATGGTAACATCTCATTACAAGTGTTCCATGTCATTTAAACGACGAAGTATGTGAGAAGGGATTATATAAGTTTGCGACACCATATAGTATGTATATGATGATTCCTTATAGATAATATAGTCCATTTAGCTATGTCCGTCTGTCCGTATGTATGTTGAAATCATTTTTCTGAACGCTTCAGACTATAGACTAGACTATAGTCCAGACTATACACTAGACTAAAGTCCAGACTATAGAAAAGACTATAGTCCAGACTGTAGACTAGACTATAGTCCAGACTATAGACAAGACTATAGTTCAGACTATAGACAAGACTATAGTCCAGACTAGACTATAGTCCAGACTAGACTATAGTCCAGACTAGACTATAGTCCAGACTATAGACTAGACTATAGTCCAGACTATAGACTAGACTATAGTCCAGACTATAGACTAGACTATAGTCCAGACTATAGACTAGACTATAGTCCAGACTATAGACTAGACTATAGTCCAGACTATAGACTAGACTATAGTCCAGACTATAGACTAGACTATAGTCCAGACTATAGACTAGACTATAGTCCAGACTATAGACTAGACTATAGTCCAGACTATAGACTAGACTATAGTCCAGACTATAGACTAGACTATAGTCCAGACTATAGACTAGACTATAGTCCAGACTATAGACTAGACTATAGTCCAGACTATAGACTAGACTATAGTCCAGACTATAGACTAGACTATAGTCCAGACTATAGACTAGACTATAGTCCAGACTATAGACTAGACTATAGTCCAGACTATAGACTAGACTATAGTCCAGACTATAGACTAGACTATAGTAGGACTATAGCTACTAGTCCAGACTATAGACAGGACTATAGTCAGCATTCAAATCTTGTTTATTCTATCTTACATAGTTTCGAAAAGTTTGTGATTTAATATCAGCTTAGTTGGTTAATAAATAATGCAGTTATGAACAATATTCCGATAAAAGCCGATGATTTTTTCCGAATTTCGATATCGCATCATTATAGAACAAAAGAAAGATATTCGAAAGACCTTTCATTTTGATTTATATTTTATCTAGAAAAATAATTATATGTTCGAAATATTTTCGAAAGAAAAAAATCTCCCCACAAATTCCAAAATCTGGCAGCGATTACAATAAGATTTATATTGATTTAACAGAGAGCGCAAACTCAAAACTCTCGCGCTCTTATTGTTTACACAAAGACCGAGGGAGAGAGAGAGAGAGAGTGTGATAAGAGAACATTGGAGAGTGTGAGATAAACCTTTATCATAACGAATACAATTTTCCATACAAAAGCCATTTCTACTAAACAATAATTTTGAAAACGGCCTGTTGCATTTAGTACCTGATGTGTTGTACGTAAAACATGACGTAGTAACGCATCTTGCTAAAAAAAATTTTCTTTTTATAATTTTCGTTTAAATTAAAAAAATATATATTAATAATTATATTTTTATCAGAAAACAAAAAAACGTGAAAAATTATTAACGTTAAAATTTAAAACGGTTTCGTGTTTTATAACAAAAAAAAAAGTAAATTATATAAAAAAGTAAACTTTTAAATATTCTTAAAACGTATGCTTTAAAACCAAATGTATCTATCAGATACTAGATACATGTGTTTTTGTGTATAGATTATTTTATATAAAAAAAAACAACAACAACAATTAGAAGAAAGAAAATAACAAACGTAAATACTTTTAGACATCAAACATCAACAATTTAAATTAAAGTTTTTTTTTTCTACTTTACTTTTTGAAATGTATAGATAGATACGAGTGTGTGTGTTTGTGTGTATGTTATTTGTTTAAATAAAATATTGTACGTGTCGTGTAGCTAAAAATACTCAAATAAGAAATACATATAATACTATAAGCAAGTTTATAAAAATACTCTCATTATAAACAAAAAAACCGAAAATATTCAAAAGACGTGCTTTTCAAAAAAATTTAAAAGAAAATTTTCAAAATATTGAAAAATTATAAATAAAACTAAAATAAGAATTTTATGTAGTTTTTAGCGGAAAAATTAAACAAAATTTGATTTTAATGAAAATAACAAAATTTTTATATAAAAAATATATTTTTTAAAACAAAAATTTGAATAAAAAGAAAGAAAATATTCCGAAATTAAGAAAAATTAAAGTGTTAAAAGGTCTTTTATGAAAAAATCTGTGTAAAATTTTGAAAAGTATCTTAATGAATGTTATTAAGTAAACACTTTAAATTTGGCTTAATTTAACAAAAAATCTCAAAAGTATCTAAAAGATTTTATTCAACGCAAAATGGATTATGAAAACTCTCATACCAAAGTTTTACTTTACTAAAGGATTAAACTCACATATGGCCTCAGAAATTTAAAAAATCGTGTCTTAAATTTCAGAAAAAAATTCTTAAATATTTGAGATGTTATGACAGCGCGTGGAAAACTCTAATTATAAAGTTATAGATATTTTAACCTAAAGTTTGCATGAACTATGAATTAAAAAAGTATTTTTGAAATTTGAAAAAAAAAAAATCCCTACTTTAGGCCATGTTTAAGACGTTATTACGGCGCGTAGAAAACTTTATTTATAAAATTTTTTATATCAAATGAAAGCTTAAACTTTTGACTTCAAAATAAAGTTTTAAGCGCTCTTATAGCTTTATTCTTCTTTAAGATATCTTAACCTAAAGTTTGCATGAATTTTGAAATAAAAAAAACGATATTCGGAAAAACTTCAACGCATGATATATCAGTAAATAGAAGCGATTTTTAAATAATTTAAAAAGTATTTTTGAAATTTAAAAAAATTTTGTTTCAAATTTCGAAAAAAATACCCGCTTTGGGCCATATTTGAGATGTTATTACAGCGCGTGGAAAACTTTATTTATAAAGTTTTTTATATCAAATGAAAGCTTAAACTAATGATTTTAAAATAAAGTTTTAAACGCTATTGTAACTTTATTCTTGTGCGAGATATTTTAACCTAAAGTTTGCATTAACTATGAATTAAAAAAGTATTTTTGAAATTTGAAAAAAAAATCCCTACTTTAGGCCATGTTTAAGACGTTATTACGGCGCGTAGAAAACTTTATTTATAAAGTTTTTTATATCAAATGAAAGCTTAAACTTTTGACTTCAAAATAAAGTTTTAAGCGCTCTTATAGCTTTATTCTTCTTTAAGATATCTTAACCTAAAGTTTGCATGAATTTTGAAATAAAAAAAAAACGATATTCGGAAAAACTTCATCGCATGATATATCAGTTAATAGAATCGATTTTTAAATAATTCAAAAAGTATTTTTGAATATTGATAAATCTTATCTTAAATTTCGAAAATAAACCCCGCTTTAGGCCATATTTGAGACGTAATTACAGCGCGTAGAAAACTTTATTTATAAAGTTTGTTATTCCATATGAAAGCTAAAACTAATGACTTTATAATAAAGTTGTAAACGCTCTTGTAGCTTTATTCTTCTTCAAGATATCTTAAACTAAAGTTTGCATGAATTATGAATTAAAAAAAAGCGATATTCAGAAAAACTTGAACGCATGATATCTCAGTAAATAGAACTGAATTTTAATGAGAAAAGATCTTGCACAAGAAAGTAGATATAACATAGCTTTAATCTTTATTTTAAAGATTGACAGATTGAACTTTCAGATAACATCAGCAGAACTTGTTAATAAACTCGTCCTCTCTTTGTTATAACGTTTCAAATATGTCAAAAAATGGGTTATTTTCACGTTTATCGGGAAAACCAGATACTATAAAGACTTTCTGGGACCAGCTACAGATTTAGCGCTGCATAAGCTTTTAGAAGTGTGTACTTTGGCCGGAGTTATTAAACATTTCCGAAATTAAAAGAAAAACTATAAAAAATCAAAAAATTAAAGATTTATATTAAAAGATACAAAAGTATCTGAAAGATATTTGTGGGATTTTGATAAAATTACATAAAATATTATTAAAACATTGTATAATTGTTCTTAACTCTTTGTTAAAATAGCAATTTCAATCAAATCTTAATGATTTATAACAAAAGATACAAATATATCTTAAAGATTTTTTTCAAAATTCAAAGCTAAAATGTTTAAAAAAACTTTTAAATATGTTTTAAACATTAATTAAATTGTTTTTAATAATGTTTTAAAATTACAATTCAAATTTTAATGAAATCTAATAAAAGATACAAAAGTATCTTTAAGAGTTTTTTCTTTAATTTCTTGTATTAATTACTTAAATATATTAAAAAAAAAAAAAAAAATTAATAAATTTTCAAATATTAAAAATTTTAATTTTATATTAAAAAATGCAAATTTTAATTTGATAATAGTACACGTTTCGTCTAGGCCTCTTAATAATTTGTGTAAACACAACAAAAATCGTATTAATATTATTAAGTGTTTAGATAAATATTAGTCAAAATTATAAAATAAAAATACTTGCTCGTGCAAAATTTCATTTACAAATATTTACTTCACGTATTAAATTTGAAGAGTTTTAAATTTAAAAAATAAAAAACGTAATAAGTTTATTGATTTTAATAATTAACTAAAGAAGAAGGTCTTTAAGGGAGATGGATAATAAAAATATACTTAAAGAAATATTAAGCAAATAAAATCTGGAAATTTTAATCATTTTAAAAATATATATTGAGAGTTTTTGTGAATTTAAAAAAAAAAAATATTTAAAAATAGTTTAAACAATATTTTTTTGAAATTCTTTATCGTTTCATATTAATCCCTTGAAGATTTTTTAAACGCCTTATAATTTTAACACCTTCAATTATAACCTATACCACTATAGTGTGTAGGTTATTATGGGTTTGTGCTGATGTTTGTAACACCCACCTTAAAGTATACTCGAGTCGGACTAGAATCTCTTTCTGAGTCTATTAAGCTATGTCCGTCTGTCTGACCGTCCGTCCATCCGTCTGTATTTCCATGTAAACCTTGGCCGCACTCTACAGGTCGCAATTTTCAAGATAATTTGATGAAATTTGGCACAAACGAAGTTATAACAGTATCTAAAGAATACAAAATGGATTTTAAAGACACAAAAGTTTATAAAAGCTACAAAAGTATCTAAAATACAATAATATCTCAATGCTTTTAATAGTATCTAAAACATATAAAAGTATCATTGAATTGAAAAAAAGTAGTTTAAAGATAAAAATGAATCTTAAGGATACATTAAGTATGTTTAAGATATAAAAGTATCTAAAGCTTACAAAAATATCTTTACCAAACGAAATGTATCTCACTGCTTCAAATGGTAACTGAAATATGCAAAAGTATCTTTGAATTGCAAAAAGTATCTTAGAAATACACAGCTATATTAAGGATACAAAAAGTATCTTAAAGATATAAAAATATCTAAAACCTACAAAAGTATCTTTAACACACAAAAAGTATCTCACTGCTTAAAATAGAAACTGAAGCATGCAAAAGTATCTTTGAATTACAAAAAGTATCTTAGAAATACACAGCTATCTTAAGGATACTTAAAGTATCTTAAAGATGTTAAAATATCTAAAACCTACAAAAGTAACTTTAACACACAAAATGTATCTCACTGCTTCAAATAGTAACTGTAACATGCAAAAGTATCTTTGAATTGCAAAAAGTATCCTAAAGATACAAAAAGTATTTTAAACATACAAAAGTATCTTTAAACCACAAAAAGTATTGCACTGCTTCAAATAGTATCTGAAACTTAGAAAAGTAAGATTGAAATTCTAAAAATTTCTCTTAAAGATACAAAACTAACTTTAGGATAACAAAAGTATAAAAAACATACTAAAGTATCTTTAACAAAAAATGTATCTTCACGAACCTATATCTTCTTAAAGTATCTAAAACTTACAAAAGTATCTTTAAACCAGAAAAAGTATCTCACTGCTTTAAATAATAATTAAAATACGCAAAAGTATCTTTGAAATGCAAAAATTAATCTTAAAGATACAAAACTTTCAAAAAGATACAAAAAGTATCTAAAAAAACATTACAACAAATATAAAAACAAAAGTATCTTTTAACACACAACAAGTATCTAAAACATACAAAAGTATTTTAAAGACACAAAAAGTAGCTATAAACACACAAAAAGTATCTAAGTATCTTTAGATATTACAAAGTATCCTTAAGATGCTAAAGCATCTTAAAGATACTAAAAGTATCTAAAGCAACAAAACTATCTGAAAATAACTAAAGAAAACAAAAAAGTGCTTTATAAAAAAATTATTCTAAATTTTATTTTAGATTTTGAGAAAATTAAAAAAAAAAAATCCAATAAAAAACAATAAAAAATAATAAATAAAAATCTACAAATAACAGTGAAAACAAAAACAACAAATATTTTTATAATTACATGATCAATAAAACTGTAATTATCAGTGTAACAAGCAGTTTTGGTGAATAAATCATTTTTTTAAAAAAAGTGCAGTTTTACATGCTAAATTACAACAACAACAACAAAAGGAGATACACACACTCTTCATACTTAATTTAACTTGAAAAAAAAAAAAATTAAAAAAAACAAAGTGTTGGTCAACTATTTATTTGTTCTCAGTTGGTTAATGTGTTCCCCATGGATTAAATTTCACCTGATTTTTTTAAATCTGCTGTAGTACGTAATTTTTTTTTTTACTCCATTTTCGTTTGTCTCGTTCGTTCGTACGTATCGCCACCTTTCGTCTATAATTATACTCAAACGTGATCACGAGCCTCACACCAAAAAATATTAAACTACAGCAGCAGCAAAAAACCACAACAACAACAACAGCAACAAGTTTGCCAAAGTAACAACAATCACATCACTTCCATCTTAACAACAACGACAACAACAACAGCAAAAAAGCTGTGAACTTAAAATTTCAGCCTAAAAAACCTTAAGGAAAAGAAAAACAAAAGCAAAAACATTACAAAAAAACTTTTATCTCCAACAACAACAACAAAAACCAAGAAGAAGAGCTTTAGCAAACAACAAACACACATCAACAAGGATTAGTTTTCGTATCGTTTTTAAAAACGAGAAACCCTTCGTATAAACTTAAGTCTGTTGCTTATTATTACTTTTATGAACTTGAAAGGGAGCATGAATATAAAAACAACAACTACAACAACAAGCGGAGTAACAAAAAAAAACAATAACATTGACGCCATTGAGACCGAACGATCATCATCGTTTGTTTAGTCTTTACTTCGTTGTTTGAATGCATGAGTTTGTTGGTTAAATTTACCTTTAACAACAACAACAAGCACAACAGCTACATACTACAATAATAAATACAACATCATTATCTTCGTCATCATCATCATCCTTTTTATTTCACGAAATAAAAACAAAAATCCAGTTTTTAACTTCGTAAACAGTAAACATTGAATAATCAAGTGAAGACTCTGAGTGAATGCCTTGAATAATCGAGAGATAAAGAGAGAATCGTGCAATCAGTTTTTTTTTCGTCTTTAAACATATTTGTGCATTTCTTCTCTTTGTTAACGTTTTCACAACATTGGCAATAACAGAAAAATCTATACAAATCAAACGTCATTTGTTTGTCTACCTTAAAACAATAACAAAAAAACAAAAACAATGTACAATTTATAAACCTGGTCTATACAATACAAAAAAAAAAACATCTTCACAGTGTTACACACTCTCTCTCTCACTGATCGTTCATATACTCTTTATATAGCAGAGAGTTTTTCTTTAAGGAATAATTCCTTAGATTTTTTAAACAACAACTTTTACAGACTTCAAACTACGTAGACATGGCGCCGAAATCCAGAAAGAAGAAGGCAAATGGTAAATATATTATTTGTTTTTTTTTCTCTTTATTTCCTTTTTAATTTTTTTGTTTTGTTTTCTTTTGTATTTAATATTAATAATTTATTTTTAAGCTTGTTCTTACTCTGCTGCTTTATACTTAGTACATATACATATAAGTTAAGAGATTAAAAATGCAAAACTAGAGATTATGGTAAAGACTAGATTTCGATTTAGGCAAAAATACTTAGACAAGATTATTTTTTCCAGATATAGAAAGAAAAGTTGAAAATAGACTATCATTACATTGTAATTTATTTGTAGAAAAGTATTGCATTGTACTAACCAAGGGGCATTCCAATATCTAATCATTAAAATCTTCTTAGAAAGTTGCAAATATGCAAGTTTGATTACAAAGAGGTCCACAGACGACAAGAAGTTTACATAATGTTCATTTGCTAATTTACTGCATGAAATCTAACAGAACTTACCTAGAACAGAACTAGAAATGAACTAGAAATGAACTAGAACTGAACTAGAACTGAACTAGAACTGAATTAGAACTGGATTAGAACTGAACTAGAACTGAACTAGAACTGAACTAGAACTGAACTAGAACTGAACTAGAACTGAACTAGAACTGAACTAGAACTGAACTAGAACTGAACTAGAACTGAACTAGAACTGAACTAGAACTGAACTAGAACTGAACTAGAACTGAACTAGAACTGAACTAGAACTGAACTAGAACTCAACTAGAACTGAACTAGAACTGAACTAGAACTGAACTAGAACTGAACTAGAACTGAACTAGAACTGAACTAGAACTGAACTAGAACTGAACTAGAACTGAACTAGAACTGAACTAGAACTGAACTAGAACTGAACTAGAACTGAACTAGAACTGAACTAGAACTGAACTAGAACTGAACTAGAACTGAACTAGAACTGAACTAGAACTGAACTAGAACTGAACTAGAACTGAACTAGAACTGAACTAGAACTGAACTAGAACTGAACTAGAACTGAACTAGAACTGAACTAGAACTGAACTAGAACTGAACTAGAACTGAACTAGAACTGAACTAGAACTGAACTAGAACTGAACTAGAACTGAAGCTAGAACTGAACTAGAACTGAACTAGAACTGAACTAGAACTGAACTAGAACTGAACTAGAACTGAACTAGAACTGAACTAGAACTGAACTAGAACTGAACTAGAACTGAACTAGAACTGAACTAGAACTGAACTAGAACTGAACTAGAACTGAACTAGAACTGAACTAGAACTGAACTAGAACTGAACTAGAACTGAACTAGAACTGAACTAGAACTGAACTAGAACTGAACTAGAACTGAACTAGAACTGAACTAGAACTGAACTAGAACTGAACTAGAACTGAACTAGAACTGAACTAGAACTGAACTAGAACTGAACTAGAACTGAACTAGAACTGAACTAGAACTGAACTGAACTAGAACTGAACTAGAACTGAACTAGAACTGAACTAGAACTGAACTAGAACTGAACTAGAACTGAACTAGAACTGAACTAGAACTGAACTAGAACTGAACTAGAACTGAACTAGAACTGAACTAGAACTGAACTAGAACTGAACTAGAACTGAACTAGAACTGAACTAGAACTGAACTAGAACTGAACTAGAACTGAACTAGAACTGAACTAGAACTGAACTAGAACTGAACTAGAACTGAACTAGAACTGAACTAGAACTGAACTAGAACTGAACTAGAACTGAACTAGAACTGAACTAGAACTGAACTAGAACTAGAACTGAACTAGAATTGAACTAGAACTGAACTAGAACTGAGCTAGAACTGAACTAGAACTGAACTACAACTGAACAAGAACTGAACTAGACAAACAAGTCCACAAACTAGAGTAATTAAGTAGTTTTTAATTAAAAATATAGCTATTTTCACAGTGGAATCGGATAAATGAAATTACTCTAATATAAGAACATTTTCGCATTCATAACAAATAATCTTAAAATCAATTATATTATATGTAAGTTGTTTTCTCCTTCTCCTAAAATTTATGTTGTTTTATTCTCCTTGACATTTCTCAACTAAAAAGATAATGATCTTTAAAAAAACTCTTTCAAAACACTATTTTTTAACCCTCAACTTTGTGTTTCAAATAAATCTTAATTTTTGAACTTCTTGGAAATTGAATTAAATAACAAAAACAGCAATTTGTTTAAAAATCAATCTTCTGTGTTTCTGTTTTTTTTCTGCCATTTTTGCAAAATTGTTAAATTAAAATTGATTACGTCAGAAAACCATTTCAAGCAACACCTTTGTTTATGGAAATACAAAAAATAAAAAACAGATTTATAATTTTGTTTTACTAAGGCAGAAGTGCATCAGTTTGAAATAGAGGATTAATAAGGAACCTAAAGAAACCAGTTTGGAATTTTTCAAAAATAAAAAGTGTTTCTAATTTTGAATTATTGGGCTAATAAAACAATAACACCAGCAACAATATTATAACAAATGTCTGTTGGCCAAAAAGGTGTTTAAATTTTTGTGTAACCTTTATATGAAGACCAACACCATATTGAAACTAAAAGATACAAATACATATCGAGCGGATTTTGTTTAGAGCGTTTTTTTTTTCCACTTTTTGACTGTGACCGTTTATTGTTTTCAAAGACTGCCTGTGGCGAATTTTTTCTTTCAAATAGTTTTTGTTTTGGAGTTTCTTTAGATTTTTGTGTGTTTTTTTATCTTATTGTAGCAAATCGAAAGGTGTGTAGATTTCAAATTGGTTCAAATCATTTCTTTTTGAACAAGATAGAATGAATTTAGCCATTTTTTATTAGTAATTTTTAAAGTTAAAGGTGAGAGACATTCACACTAGGTAAATATTTTAAATAGATAAAATATTAAGGCAGAATTTTCCAAATATTTGCCCCACTCCTGGTACCTAAGATTTTTGCCAAGATTTTTCGGAATTAAAAATGATCTGAAATTATATTACCAGTTCTAACTCACTTAAAGTTCAGTTCCTATTCAGTTCTAGTTCAGTTCTATTTCAGTTCTAGTTCAGTTCTAGTTCAGTTCTAGTTCAATTCTAGTTCAGTTCTAGTTCTAGTTCAGTTCTAGTTCAGTTCTAGTTCAGTTCTAGTTCAGTTCTAGTTCAGTTCTAGTTCTGTTCTGTTCTAGTTCAGTTCTAGTTCAGTTCTAGTTCAGTTCTAGTTCAGTTCTAGTTCAGTTCTAGTTCAGTTCTAGTTCAGTTCTAGTTCAGTTCTAGTTCAGTTCTAGTTCAGTTCTAGTTCAGTTCTAGTTCAGTTCTAGTTCAGTTCTAGTTCAGTTCTAGTTCAGTTCTAGTTCAGTTCTAGTTCAGTTCTAGTTCAGTTCTAGTTCAGTTCTAGTTCAGTTCTAGTTCAGTTCTAGTTCAGTTCTAGTTCAGTTCTAGTTCAGTTCTAGTTCAGTTCTAGTTCAGTTCTAGTTCAGTTCTAGTTCAGTTCTAGTTCAGTTCTAGTTCAGTTCTAGTTCAGTTCTAGTTCAGTTCTAGTTAGTTCTAGATCAGTTCTAGTTCAGTTCTAGTTCAGTTCTAGTTCAGTTCTAGTTCAGTTCTAGTTCAGTTCTAGTTCAGTTCTAGTTCAGTTCTAGTTCAGTTCTAGTTCAGTTCTAGTTCAGTTCTAGTTCAGTTCTAGTTCAGTTCTAGTTCAGTTCTAGTTCAGTTCTAGTTCAGTTCTAGTTCAGTTCTAGTTCAGTTCTAGTTCAGTTCTAGTTCAGTTCTAGTTCAGTTCTAGTTCAGTTCTAGTTCAGTTCTAGTTCAGTTCTAGTTCAGTTCTAGTTCAGTTCTAGTTCAGTTCTAGTTCAGTTCTAGTTCAGTTCTAGTTCAGTTCTAGTTCAGTTCTAGTTCAGTTCTAGTTCAGTTCTAGTTCAGTTCTAGTTCAGTTCTAGTTCAGTTCTAGTTCAGTTCTAGCTCAGTTCTAGTTCAGTTCTAGTTCAGTTCTAGTTCAGTTCTAGTTCAGTTCTAGTTCTAGTTCAGTTCTAGTTCAGTTCTAGCTCAGTTCTAGTTCAGTTCTAGTTCAGTTCTAGTTCAGTTCTAGTTCAGTTCTAGTTCAGTTCTAGTTCAGTTCTACTTCAGTTCTAGTTCAGTTCTAGTTCAGTTCTAGTTCAGTTCTAGTTCAGTTCTAGTTCAGTTCTAGTTCAGTTCTAGTTCAGTTCTAGTTCAGTTCTAGTTCAGTTCTACTTCAGTTCTAGTTCAGTTCTAGTTCAGTTCTAGTTCAGTTCTAGTTCAGTTCTAGATCAGTTCTAGTTCAGTTTTAGATCCATTTTAGTTTATGGATATAATATCTTCCTAAACTTATTTTATATTGAAAAATCCCAATTCAAATTCACCTTGAATTTTTAAATTATAAAACATATTTCTATTTGATTTTTCTCTCCTTTGAAATTTCCTTTTCACAAAAAAATTCCCAGATAATCATCACAAATGTTTTCAGTAAAACATTTTACCTGTCTTTCACACAAAAATGTCAACAATTTCTATTAAAACAGCAACTGGGTTTTTAATTTTTTTTCTCCACACTAAACACAACATTTCTTAAACACATGTCTGCAATGATAAACATTTTTTGAAGTCTGAAAAAAAAAAAGAAATTTCCAATAATAAATACATGGTTTAAAAACGCACAGGATATAAAACATTATTTTTTGTGTTGAAATGACAGCTCCCAAGTACTACAATCACTACAATAACTGAGAAAAAAAACTCTTACTTATTTATAAATTCAAACTGAAGCAGAGACGACAGAGTCGGAGTCAGGGACAGACTTGAATCCCATATTGTATATCTTATAGTGTAGTAGGTATATGGATCTGTTGTAACAACATTCACTTACATTTATAACTATTGCTTTGTTTTTGTTGTTTTTTTTTTCTCCTCTTGTCATATGTAGAGAGATACAAAAATACTTTTTTACATGGTACTTTTTTTTGTAACTTGAGCTGCATACAAATCACTTTGTGGTTGAGAAACTAAAACAGAAAAAAAAATCCA